AACCTTGGGCTCTGGCTGTGCTAAGGAGCCCGCTGGCGCTCTTTGAACAGTGCTGTGCACGAAAGAGCACACTGATCTTAGCACTCCAGTGCTCCTGTGTTTGTTTTGATTTTTGTGAGCTTTTATTTCCCCAAACACAAAGCATCCTTGGAAACTCCCTTAATGCTCCTCTCACTTCCTTCTAATGAAATGGAATATGAAAAGAGAAAAGAGCCAATGAAGGTGATTTAAAAGAGAATAGGACTCTGTTTACTTCTGAAAATAATTGTTTCTCTTTTTTTCTACAGAGTCCAAATACTGTGTTTTGGGATTAGGTGTATAAAGGGGAAATGAGTTAAAGATTTTTCCTGTCTTTTTGGGGGTGGGTGTTGAACGTCTTTTGCTTCTGGGCTGGATGACTATGACACAGAGTTCATGATTTGCTTTTTGATCTGTTCTCACTGACAATGCATTTAGGGGAAATTGTCTGAAAAATTTGGTACATTATTTTCTTTCCTTTTGCTATTGTCAGTTCTTGTCTCTTTCTTTTATCTTCATTGATGTTTTAATGGGAGACAGCAGACCAGACACATCTAATCTGTATTGAGGTTTCTTATTAAATTTCTTTGGATTTTTGGAAAATTGTTCTAGTGTTTATGAAGACAAAAACTCTATTAGTAGGTTAACAGAAGCATGTTTATATTTTTATTGCAAAAGATAATAAAACAAAGATAGCTTGTTTCTATAGCCTCTTTTTCTGGGAACAGAATCTCTCAAGTACAGTAAGTAATACCATGGACTTTGAAGTTAGACTGAGGTTTATGTCTAGACAACACCACTTTCTGTAACTTTAGGATACTTACTCAACCATTCTAAACTTCATTTTCTCTTGTGTAAAAGAGAAATAATAGTACCTACCTTGTAGAGTTGTTGTGAGGAATGGACTTAGCATGTGTTTGCATATCATAAACACTCAACAGTTGGTAGCCATGACTGATTATTACAAGTATGATGGGAGACATTATCTTTGAATTTCCTAATTGCATGTGAAATTCTTAAGCCTTATGAGCAAGATTAGGTCTTATTAATATTTTTAGGACATAATATTTATAATAAAGACATAAATCATTACATAAGCTAACATATATTATTTTAACAAGATACCACAAATAATTTTCCAGTCCAACACTCCTTACCCATATGTAACATGCAACTATATCCCTAGGCAATTTGTGCAGAAAGTGGTCATTAATTATTCACTTAGGAAGGTGACAATTGGTTCACACAGAGTATATTTCTAAAACAAAATTGTTAACCTGCTTTGCCTTTTAGGAAAACAGCGATCTTCCACATAAGAAAGTGAACAAAATGTTCTTGACAAACATGTTAAACAACTGAGAACTGATAACTTAGAGTCTTGTCTCACAGCAGCGAGGAAGACTGGTCAAAACTCCACAGGAACACATCCAGACACACTAGCAGAGGCCCTGCTCACAATTGTCGGGTTTCAATGTCATAAACTTTGTCCTGCCACAGGATAGGCATTATTGATCAAAGGACATGATTTGCATCCAAACTAACATAATTCAGAAAACAGAATATACATATATTCTTGGGAACTTCACCAAACCATTTCATGTTCCAAGAATGTTATGACCATATCCACGAAGAACTGATTCTTGACTATATAGGAAAGAATTGAAAAGTCTATGACTTCTCTAGCTCGATTGTTTGTTTCTTCCCCTTCTTTTCTTGTCCTTCTGCTGCTTAATCCTTTCAGTTTCACTGTTTGTTAACGTCTTCACCCCTGGAGTTAGTCACCTTCCACAATGGAAGTTCCACTGTCTTACATCTGATAGTTACTGAGATAAAACATTTGAAAAAGGAGAAATTTGAAACTATAATCATTAACAGGGTGTTGAAATATGTGTATTTCATTTGTTTGAGACTATTAATCTTGAAAAATAGCATAGTGTATTTTTATTTTAACCAATGAACTTATATGCATATATGCATAGCCCATAGACAGACAATAGTGTGGGGAAAGCCTGGGGAGGGGGCAGGAATGGAGTGAGGGGGTAAATGGGGGGGAAAAGTGGGACATTTGTAATAATTTCAACAATAAGATAAATTTAAAAAACACTTCCAGCTTAGTGTTGGGTATTGAAAAAGAAAAAGAAAAAGAAGTTTAGCAAATGCTAGGTTGTAAAATAGAAATGACCTTCAATTAAGGAGGAGCTGGTGGTTCACAGAAAAACTGACTTGTATAGTAAGAACATTCGCTGCCCTATACAATGGGGGACAACTGGGCAATTAATACATGGGCCAGTGGAGATTCATGTCTTCAAGTAGTTCTAACATCCACCTGCTAGGTGCGTGACTCTGAGCAAGACCTTTTTATATCTTTGAATCTCAGCATGGTTAATAGTGAAATGTGGTACAAATATAAACTCCACTGTGTTTATATAGATTCTTCAAGCAAGGAGTCTTTGAGAAAATGCAGCATTGAAAGTTCAAAGCAACACAGTAAATGAGACCTTTGCTTGGAGAAAAGAAACATTCTCACAGAATAGAGGGAATTCTGAGGAAGGGGACAAGGCAGTGCAATGTAACGGATCCGAGCATGAACCCTGGAGCCAGATGGCCTGGATTTGAACCCCATCTCTACCACTGACCTGGTGCATTATCTTGAACAGCTTACTTTCCTTTCCATTCNTGAGCATGAACCCTGGATCCAGACGGCCTGGATTTGAACCCCATCTCTACCACTGACCTGGTGCATTATCTTGAACAGCTTACTTTCCTTTCCATTCCTCAGTTTCCTCACCTTTAAAAAACAAAGGATGATAATGATAGTACTTACCTTATAGTGTTGTTATAAGAGTTAAATTAATATTTGTAAAATGCTTACCCTGTAGCATTTAATGCATGCTATGAACATGCTTATTAAATACACTTGGAGGAGATAAAATCAATTCTTAAACAGTCTTGACAGTTTTGTGTTAAGGGCATATACTTTGTATGTGAGTGCTCATGGGAGTGTTTATTACTCTAACATAAATATCATGTGGTTTGAAGAAGAAATGAAAACAAATAAAAAGCTATGTTTTTAATTTGCATGTAGGATTTTTAAAAAAGGAAATGGATTATAGCAGGTTGGTTGTAGTATATCCTTGGGTCTGGGTACTGTTGAATCTTTGTACCAATCTTAAGAGATCTAAATTGTCACAGCAATCTACTTGAATTTGAATAGCACAAGCTTCCCTAGAGCCCCTAAGAAGGCCAGTAAGAAGACTATTTGGAAGAAGACCTGAGTTCCTCACAGTGGTACCAAAGCACTCACAAAGCATTATAAATAGCTGCACACACAATTCCACAGGAGGAAGCTCTAGGAAAGTGTAATTATAGCTTTAGCTCCTGCAGTGTGAAGCATTCGCAGGGTCGATGGGGGATATCACTGCAGCATTGTATTGTGACAGGTCAGATTATTCCTAATTGTTTGCTCTCTGTTACACGCTTTGGCCATTGATGTGTGAGTGGACAGTTGTCTCATCCACTGGAAGCTTAACTGCAGTTGAGTGCTTTGTCTTGGACCCTTATCTCCTGCCCTTTACCATGGCATGCGGGTCTGGGAGTGAGAAGACATGTCAGGCCTGCCGAGCCCAGCTGCATTAAGCAGGGCCCAGCCTAGCCACTGTCTTCAAGTAACACGAGGAATAAGCAGGTGTGTGTAAGCCACTGAGCTGCTGGGGCTGTGTGTTCCCACAACTTACCTCTTTGAGGACATGGTCTAAGAGGTCTAGGGAAATTTGTGGTGTTGAAAAGCACTTTGGTACATTAGCCAAACTTAAATGTCCTTATTATCATACTCAGAATGCCTATATATTATAAAGACAGTCAATCTAAGAGTTTGCAAATATATATCCTCAATCTGGGGCCCTTATTCTTTACGTCTTTGAGGGGTTAGTAGTAATTTAGGGGGACAGGAGACTGTTGTTTCTCTACTGCTGTTGCAAAGGACCACATATATTGGTGGCACCCCTTGAATTGCAGGAATTTATTTTAAGTGGAATGATAATACTCTGACTTTATATATCTTCAGCTTCTTTTGTCTAAGGCATTCAAAGAACTCTTGAAACAGTGTCCTCACTGATTCTTACTTCCACATGCAAACAAGTAGCTATAGCTATTGCACAACTTTGCAAGGTGGAAACATGGAAGCAAGTGAAGCCATGGTCTGGGCAATAAAACACCTGGGTATTTGAGGTTACGTAGGCAAAATATCAATGACCAACTAAATCTGAAATAATTCCTATTACCACTTATCACATATAGCATCCTATTTTGGGACTGTAAAAAGTTCAGTTTTATAGTAGAACAGAATAGATAAATGTCTCCAGGAATGTGATTCTTCCAGAAGCCCAGACTGCTTTCTACCTTCATTCAGCTCTTTGCTCAAGCAACACACTTTCAGAGAGACCTGCTTTGATAATCAGATCCTAAATAGTCTTCTACCCTTCTCTAGTCTCTTATTCTGCTTTATTATATTATATATTTCCTATATATTATATATTTCTTTGTTACATATTATATTGTATATTTCTTTGACTATTATCTTTCATGTTGACATATAAGACCTGTTTGTGAGAAATATGTCTGTCATATGAGAATCAGTCTATTCACTGATACATTTCTAGTGAATAACACTTAGCAGATTGCAGGTGCTCAATATGTATTTGTGGAATGATTAATTCAACAATATTGAATAAATTATTTTTAACATTTAACACAAAACATTGTTATATCCTCTTTGTGGATTGTAAATTCTATAATTTAAAAATAGTTATAGTTTCTATTAATGTCCTGGCCTTAGACTCCAGCTTATTTGGTACCAACATTATGCTGCCTTTAAAAAATTTGTTTCTTTACATTAACCTTGTATATCTTTGTGCATCTCCTTCTATTTATTAACTCTGATTCATAGTGATATCCTCTATTTAATTCTGATTTGTCAAATTCAGACTGAATTGTTTCAGGAGAGCAGTGTCTTTAGCAGTGGCTAACCTACACAGAAACATCAACAGTTGCAGTTCTTTAGATTGGGTAAGTTTCTTGAAGCTAGCACCTTGAATAAGAGTCTTCTAGGGCATTGCCAGCTGTGGGGCGAAGGAAAAGGTTATAATCTGTGGGTCCTCCTTATTTGCTTCTGTCGAGCTCAAATATTATTTGTGTACAAGGAGCCAGGATAGGAATATAAGGGGCCTATGTGAAGTTGCTGGTAGATGAGCATATGGCAGCCCTATGGGGTTGATCTGAGTGAAATGCTTTTCACCAAGATTATTTATGAATGGATCCCAGTATTGAATGACAGTACATGGTAGAAACTGAGGGGAAATTTACTCATTCACCATAAATTATATTATAGTTAAACTCTTTTCTTAAAACCATTGTCATGACAGTTATTCTAACCTTGTACCAAGACTCTCATTTCCCCCTCATTTCAATCCTTAATATTGCTGTCCAAAGTCCATTCACACTCAGGGCTGAATGAGGAAGACCCACCTCTGTGAACAACAAAAAGACTGAAGCATATTCATACTCTATTGGTGACATGTCATTATAACGGACCTTTCAAAACTCTGTCCACATACATAAAGCCATAGAGTCTTTTCTCATGTCATCAACCCTAAATCAGTGGCTGATAATCTAAAACTGATTCTTTACTTTTCTAGAGAAATGTGTCACTCATCTTAATACCCTCCTTCACAAAGGCAACTAGGCAGCTAAGAATCCCTGGCTAGCTTAATAAAGTGATAAAAGAAATAAAAATCAGAAGGGGCAACAGGGGATTTTTATCCCATTTAAATCTTATTATGACCTTGAAAAAATTCACGTGTAAGTACATCAGTATGGAGAGGTCCATATCTGACCATCAGGTCCAATAATGAGAGCAGATTCTAAGACATAGTTACTGATACTATTTATTTAATGAGACAGATTATGTAAATGTAACTGTACTGGACATTGAAGCTTGCTTAACTGAGATTTACAAAATCATTTTATTTTTCTTGAACTTTTATATTTTAGGGAACTTGCTAATTGAGTTAGTAATTCTCCTGTATATTGTGAAGCTGACAAAAAACAAAAACTCAATTTAAATTCAAAACCTGGAGGGGTTTTCCTGTCCTTGCTGTGAAAGGTAGGTTATCTTCCTAGCCAATTTGTCAAGCTTTTTGACCATTTCCTAAATATTTACTCATTTATTCATTATTTGCTGAATAGCTTCCATGTGTTAAGAATTGTTCTAAGATCTGGGGATAGGTCAGTGAACAAAATAGACAAATCCCTGCCCTTCTAGAGTGTTTATTTAATTAAATGAACCCAATGTTTAAAAATAAGCAGATAGATATATAAAAAATGTTAATTTGTGAAAAATGATACAGGAAAAAATGAAGCTGAGAACCCAGAGGGTAGCAACCTCATTATCAAAGAGAGACAACCTATATGATTATTAGACATCCCATTTAAAAGATATTCCAACTGTCATGTTGATAAATTTCAGGCTTTAGTTTTGTTTGTTTTGTTTTGTTTTGTTTTGTTTTTTGGATAATGGGTCTATGACAGGTTACCTAGACTGGCTGCATGGGAATTTCCTGGAGGTCCTCATTAAAAATACAGATTTCTGGGTCCCACCCATGATGCATTAAATCATAATCTCTGGGGATAAAGCCTGAATTTGTGTGCCTTTGAGCGAGTTCTCCAGTTAATTGGATATGCCATCAGGATAGGAATCACTGCAGCTACATAAGGACCAAGAAGGGCATTAGACACAGTCATTCCCTTTATTATTAGCACATGGAGAAGTCTGTTGGAGCAGTATAAGATAGTTTGTGGCTTTTGTTGACCTTTCCTCAACCTTAGTCTCTGTAGGCAAGAAAAGGTCAGAACAAGCTTCATGACCTCAATATAGAGCCTCAGTCACTGAAGCTCCTGCAGTGCCTTAATATTACTTTGAGGTCAGAATCAGGCAGGTGTTTTGATGGATCAGGTAGCAATTTATAGTTGGGCACAACAGTGATGTGATTTTTTCTTACAACCCTCTGAACTGGATGCACAATTATTGTACTCTCAGATGAGCTGTGTGTGCACCCCATGCGGCAGAGAAGAGAAGACGATCACTGTTACATATGAGCACGCTTTATGGACACAGTGTAGTGCCTTAATAGATAACAAATTGACCACAATTTCAAAAAGGACAGGAGGTAATACTTTTTGACTGGTGTTCCTCAATTTTTAACATGACTTTGGGTCATAATTTTATGTATAGCAAATGACTTAGTTAATGACCTAGTGCATTATTTGTAATCCGTAAACCTCAGAGGAGACATTAGGAAGTTATATTGAGGTTAAAGCTTATGTGGGGGACGTAGTGGTTGTGGTTATGCTCTGTAGCAGTGTTTTGCAAACCTGTCTTCATATTAATAAATAAGTTACCTGAGGAGCTTAAAAAAAAAATCTGCCCCCTCTCCAGATATTCTGAATGAATTGGTCTGAGGTGGAGTCTTGGCACCTGATTTTATTTTTTTTTAAATTTTTATTTATTTATTTTTTTTTAAAGGAAGCCAGTTTATTTTTACTTTTAATATTTATCTTTTCATTTTTTTCAGTCCTCACCTGAGGATATGTTTTTATTGATTTTAGACAGAGACAACGGGAGAGAGAGAGAGAAACATTGATGTGAGAGAGAAACATTGATCGGTTGTTTCGAGAATGTGCCCCAGGGATTGAACTCACAACCTGCTGGTGTACAGGAGGATGCTCCAACCACCTGAGCTATCCGGCCAGAGTTAGGCATCTGATTTTTAAAAAAAGTTCGTGAAAGAGTCCAGTGTGTGGCTGAGTAGAGGTTCACTGTTCTGTGGCTTAGAAAGGCTGTGCCTTGGTCTCCCAGTACCCTTTGTATCCTAGCACAGGACCAGAGCTCACGTGTCCTTATCAAGCCCATCTCTTTTCCTAATTTTGACATTTAACCGGAAACACGAAATACATTAGCCACACCCAGGTACTTGCCAAGGAATGTTCTCTTGAACTCATGACCACTCAGTAATCATCGGAAGCTAACTTAGAAAAACATTATTGAAAATCATTAAATAAAATTTTCCTGGGTTTCAGAGAAGGAAAAATAAATCCCAAGTATTACTATAAAACTAATGACCACTAACACCTAGTTTGTAACCACCAGCAGGACTTCCTAATTATTGTGGTTTCTCTTGTCTCTTTTTATTGAATTCTGTGTCTCATCTTGCACTTTATTTAAATTTTGACATATATAGATCCCCTATCCATGCACTTAGATGACAAGCTTCTGAAAGAAGGGAATATGTCTTTTATGTCCTATGCCCTTTAAGTCTTTTATATTTCCCAAGAATACAAGTAGCACCAGGAATCTAACAGCTGTTTGATAAATATTTTTTTAAAAAAATGAATGAATCAATGAACAATTGATACTTGTATCTCAAGTGACAGAATATTAGTTCTACATCCTTGGGAAGTTATAAACATCTTAGAAAAATTTATTAAGAATTTCAAGTACAAAAATAAAAGCGAGTACAATACATTGTATTAAACCACATGATAAACCCTGCCAGTGATATCCTTGCCTGGGTAGGTTCAGGCCTTCGTCTTCTTTCTACTGAGTATTCTGCATTCCATACTCCAGCAAGTCCAGAGCTAAACGAGAACCTGCATGCGTGATGGATGGCAATTTCTCAGTTTCTTTCTATATCAGCGCCTGAAACTTATGGCTCCCAACACTTCCCAGTTGCCAGTGATCGATGGGTTTGTTTACCACTTCTCCTTCGGTCTAGAGGGAGATACTGAGTGGGGTTTCTGCCAGCAATCTCCAAGGCTTGGCGGAGTCCCAGATCCAAGAGCTCTGCAGCCCAAGCTGTGTTTATGGCACAAAAGCCCCTGGGCTTTTTTGGATTTTAATCACTTTGTGAACAGATGCATTCCTGTTGGGATGGACAAGGTATTGAAACTTGCACTCTGCTCATTAAAACCTAAAAATCTGTTTGGCCATAAAGCAGTGTTCATTTTTTCTTCCAATAAAAATATTAAGTAGAAAATGTTTCTTTCAATCTGATTCCTGTTTCCACAGTTGCATTTCTCACCCAAATGTAAGAGGCTATTAAATTGTAATCTCAAATTATTAATAATCCCTTTATAGTTGAAAGGGGACAGGAGAGTTGAATGGAAACAAATATGTAAGATATCAGCAAACTCACTGTGCACAGCATGTGCATATAAAGTAGCAAGCTGTTTGCTGTCTTTGAGAAGGAAAAACATCCTTGTGTGCATGAATAATTGTGCTCTACACACATAAGCAACATATGTTTACTTCTCATTATCTGACAAGGTACATAGTATGTTACTTAATTACAAACACTGGCCTTCACACACAAAAATAGGAGTTACTTTAAATTTCATAGAACTGTCCTATGAAGAAGGAAGGTAGGAAATAAAGTCAAAATTAATAAAATAAGTTTTGTACCTTGACCTCAGAAAACCTGGTACACACAGTCTGATGATTGGCTTGTATGCTTTGTATGCCTAGCAGCCTCCCTCTCTCCTTTATTTCTCTTGCACTGTTTATTGCCTTCTCTGAAGAGTCCATGGAAGCCAGGTCTGGTATTTTTATTGGGCTGAAATGATTCTGGTAAAAACAAATTCTAAACAGACACGACAGGTGTCAAGAAAAGCAGCTGGATATGGTGGATAGGTGGGAAAACATTAAACGAAATGATGAGGGAGAACCTTTGATTATCTGATACCAACACCATTTCGGCTGTGGATTTGTGACCATGTCTAAGAGCTGCTAGCCACCAGCCTCCAAGACGTTGTGACATTGTGTTAGAGGTGAAAAATGACAAGATAATTAAAAATTGAGGAGCGATGTCCCTTAGGAAGACAGGAGGAGAAAAGAGGTGCTCTATCTAGTTGACTGAAATTTTGGGTTAGAAAATTACAGTGCTTTTCTGAATAAATCTTTGGCAAAGAAATATTCTTTATAATAAAGTTGCCTGTGCTATAATACGTAATGAACAGAAATTTCACAAACTGTGTAAAGCAGTGTTGCTGTGTTTCCTACCCTTGTAACCTCTGATTCTTCAGGTCATATGAGTCAGAAGATAAATGCTGAGTATTGTCCACAACAACAAATTATCTCATCAGCTCTAGTCCTTGTAGAAACTCCCTTCACCTGTGTTTCTAGGCACGTCCAAGGCATGTTTGTCTAAGCTCACCAATGCACATCCTTTCAGCTACAAGTCAACTGCCATTTCTGCTTTTTATCTTTTCTCTCTGCAGTGCCTATTGCTGAGAACTTTAATTCTCGACAAGTTTTGTGAAGAGTGCCTTTCAATTGCTGCCACCATTTATAGTGTGTGTGTGGCTCAATATGTTGGGATTCTTGGTTACAAGGAGCAGAAACCCAGTTTAATTCTCCCGTGAAGGCTGATGAAATCCAGTGGCAGGACTATAGTGGTCTCAGGAGCAAGGGGAGTCAGGGAATCTAGCCCTGTCAGGAGTCTCTCTCTCCCTTTTCCCCCTTTGGCAACTACTTTATTTTCATCCTCAGACTGGCTTTCTCTTCTTCCTCAAGCCACATGTTGATAGTTTCTAATTTTGTATTTTGTAATCCAGGCACCCCAAAGACTCTGTCAACTCTCTCAATCCTAGACACCACTTTGCTGTTCACGATCCTGTGGGTGGTGGTCTTTTCGATGGATTGATGGAGTGGCTGTTGTCCAGGGCATCACCGAGATTGAAGTCCTCCCCTCCTTCCAGCAGGTGGTGGTAAGTGGCGATCTCAGCCTCCAGCTTGACCTTGATGTTCAGCAGGCCCTAGTGCTCCTGGGCCTGTCACAGCCTAGCTCTGACTCCAGGTGAGCTGTCCTGTTGAGCTGTCCTTCAGATTTCTCATCAAGTCCAGGTCGATCTCCAAGGACTGGACCGTATGTCTCAGCTCCGTGAGTGTCATCTCAGCAGCTCCTGTCTCAGCAGTCTCCGAAGTGACCACTGTGGTTTTCTCCTCAGTCTGCTGGGACCATTGCTTGTCTAGCTCCTCTCAATTCT